ATGCCTCCTTGTTGTGCCATTAGATGAAGCAGGCCTCGAGTGCCACCTTGTTGTGTCATTAGATGAAGCAGGCCTCGAGTGCCACCTTGTTGTGCCATTAGATGAAGCAGGCCTCGAGTGCCACCTTGTTGTGTCATTAGATGAAGCAGGCCTCGAGTGCCACCTTGTTGTGTCATTAGATGAAGCAGGCCTCGAGTGCCACCTTGTTGTGTCATTAGATGAAGCAGGTCTCGAAGTGCCATTAGATGAAGCAGGTCTGGAAGTGCCATTAGATGAAGCAGGTCTCGAAGTGCCATTAGATGAAGCAGGTCTCGAAGTGCCATTAGATGAAGCAGGCCTCGAAGTGCCATTAGATGAAGCAGGCCTCGAAGTGCCATTAGATGAAGCAGGTCTCGAAGTGCCATTAGATGAAGCAGGCCTCGAAGTGCCATTAGATGAAGCAGGCCTCGAAGTGCCATTAGATGAAGCAGGTCTCGAAGTGCCATTAGATGAAGCAGGCCTCGAAGTGCCATTAGATGAAGCAGGCCTCGAAGTGCCATTAGATGAAGCAGGCCTCGAAGTGCCATTAGATGAAGCAGGCCTCGAAGTGCCATTAGATGAAGCAGGCCTCGAAGTGCCATTAGATGAAGCAGGCCTCGAAGTGCCATTAGATGAAGCAGGTCTCGAAGTGCCATTAGATGAAGCAGGCCTCGAAGTGCCATTAGATGAAGCAGGCCTCGAAGTGCCATTAGATGAAGCAGGCCTCGAAGTGCCATTAGATGAAGCAGGCCTCGAAGTGCCATTAGATGAAGCAGGCCTCGAAGTGCCATTAGATGAAGCAGGCCTCGAAGTGCCATTAGATGAAGCAGGTCTCGAAGTGCCATTAGATGAAGCAGGTCTCGAAGTGCCATTAGATGAAGCAGGCCTCGAAGTGCCATTAGATGAAGCAGGCCTCGAAGTGCCATTAGATGAAGCAGGTCTCGAAGTGCCATTAGATGAAGCAGGCCTCGAAGTGCCATTAGATGAAGCAGGTCTCGAAGTGCCATTAGATGAAGCAGGTCTCGAAGTGCCATTAGATGAAGCAGGCCTCCAAGTGCCATTAGATGAAGCAGGCCTCCAAGTGCCATTAGATGAAGCAGGCCTCCAAGTGCCATTAGATGAAGCAGGCCTCCAAGTGCCATTAGATGAAGCAGGCCTCCAAGTGCCATTAGATGAAGCAGGCCTCCAAGTGCCATTAGATGAAGCAGGCCTCGAAGTGCCATTAGATGAAGCAGGTCTCGAAGTGCCATAAGATGAAGCAGGTCTCGAAGTGCCATTAGATGAAGCAGGTCTCGAAGTGCCATTAGATGAAGCAGGCCTCGAGTGCCACCTTGTTGTGTCATTAGATGAAGCAGGCCTCGAGTGCCACCTTGTTGTGCCATTAGATGAAGCAGGCCTCGAGTGCCACCTTGTTGTGTCATTAGATGAAGCAGGCCTCGAGTGCCACCTTGTTGTGCCATTAGATGAAGCAGGCCTCGAGTGCCACCTTGTTGTGTCATTAGATGAAGCAGGCCTCGAGTGCCACCTTGTTGTGTCATTAGATGAAGCAGGCCTCGAGTGCCACCTTGTTGTGCCATTAGATGAAGCAGGCCTCGAATGCCTCCTTGTTGTGCCATTAGATGAAGCAGGCCTCGAGTGCCACCTTGTTGTGTCATTAGATGAAGCAGGCCTCGAGTGCCACCTTGTTGTGCCATTAGATGAAGCAGGCCTCGAGTGCCACCTTGTTGTGTCATTAGATGAAGCAGGCCTCGAGTGCCACCTTGTTGTGTCATTAGATGAAGCAGGTCTCGAAGTGCCATTAGATGAAGCAGGTCTCGAAGTGCCATTAGATGAAGCAGGTCTCGAAGTGCCATTAGATGAAGCAGGTCTCGAAGTGCCATTAGATGAAGCAGGCCTCGAAGTGCCATTAGATGAAGCAGGCCTCGAAGTGCCATTAGATGAAGCAGGTCTCGAAGTGCCATTAGATGAAGCAGGCCTCGAAGTGCCATTAGATGAAGCAGGCCTCGAAGTGCCATTAGATGAAGCAGGTCTCGAAGTGCCATTAGATGAAGCAGGCCTCGAAGTGCCATTAGATGAAGCAGGTCTCGAAGTGCCATTAGATGAAGCAGGTCTCGAAGTGCCATTAGATGAAGCAGGTCTCGAAGTGCCATTAGATGAAGCAGGCCTCCAAGTGCCATTAGATGAAGCAGGCCTCCAAGTGCCATTAGATGAAGCAGGCCTCCAAGTGCCATTAGATGAAGCAGGCCTCCAAGTGCCATTAGATGAAGCAGGCCTCCAAGTGCCATTAGATGAAGCAGGCCTCCAAGTGCCATTAGATGAAGCAGGCCTCCAAGTGCCATTAGATGAAGCAGGTCTCGAAGTGCCATTAGATGAAGCAGGTCTCGAAGTGCCATTAGATGAAGCAGGTCTCGAAGTGCCATTAGATGAAGCAGGCCTCGAGTGCCACCTTGTTGTGTCATTAGATGAAGCAGGCCTCGAGTGCCACCTTGTTGTGCCATTAGATGAAGCAGGCCTCGAGTGCCACCTTGTTGTGTCATTAGATGAAGCAGGCCTCGAGTGCCACCTTGTTGTGCCATTAGATGAAGCAGGCCTCGAGTGCCACCTTGTTGTGTCATTAGATGAAGCAGGCCTCGAGTGCCACCTTGTTGTGTCATTAGATGAAGCAGGCCTCGAGTGCCACCTTGTTGTGCCATTAGATGAAGCAGGCCTCGAATGCCTCCTTGTTGTGCCATTAGATGAAGCAGGCCTCGAGTGCCACCTTGTTGTGTCATTAGATGAAGCAGGCCTCGAGTGCCACCTTGTTGTGCCATTAGATGAAGCAGGCCTCGAGTGCCACCTTGTTGTGTCATTAGATGAAGCAGGCCTCGAGTGCCACCTTGTTGTGTCATTAGATGAAGCAGGCCTCGAGTGCCACCTTGTTGTGTCATTAGATGAAGCAGGTCTCGAAGTGCCATTAGATGAAGCAGGTCTCGAAGTGCCATTAGATGAAGCAGGCCTCCAAGTGCCATTAGATGAAGCAGGCCTCCAAGTGCCATTAGATGAAGCAGGCCTCCAAGTGCCATTAGATGAAGCAGGCCTCCAAGTGCCATTAGATGAAGCAGGCCTCCAAGTGCCATTAGATGAAGCAGGCCTCCAAGTGCCATTAGATGAAGCAGGCCTCCAAGTGCCATTAGATGAAGCAGGTCTCGAAGTGCCATTAGATGAAGCAGGTCTCGAAGTGCCATTAGATGAAGCAGGTCTCGAAGTGCCATTAGATGAAGCAGGCCTCGAGTGCCACCTTGTTGTGTCATTAGATGAAGCAGGCCTCGAGTGCCACCTTGTTGTGCCATTAGATGAAGCAGGCCTCGAGTGCCACCTTGTTGTGTCATTAGATGAAGCAGGCCTCGAGTGCCACCTTGTTGTGCCATTAGATGAAGCAGGCCTCGAGTGCCACCTTGTTGTGTCATTAGATGAAGCAGGCCTCGAGTGCCACCTTGTTGTGCCATTAGATGAAGCAGGCCTCGAGTGCCACCTTGTTGTGTCATTAGATGAAGCAGGCCTCGAGTGCCACCTTGTTGTGTCATTAGATGAAGCAGGCCTCGAGTGCCACCTTGTTGTGTCATTAGATGAAGCAGGCCTCGAGTGCCACCTTGTTGTGCCATTAGATGAAGCAGGCCTCGAGTGCCACCTTGTTGTGTCATTAGATGAAGCAGGCCTCGAGTGCCACCTTGTTGTGCCATTAGATGAAGCAGGCCTCGAGTGCCACCTTGTTGTGTCATTAGATGAAGCAGGCCTCGAGTGCCACCTTGTTGTGCCATTAGATGAAGCAGGCCTCGAGTGCCACCTTGTTGTGTCATTAGATGAAGCAGGCCTCGAGTGCCACCTTGTTGTGTCATTAGATGAAGCAGGCCTCGAGTGCCACCTTGTTGTGTCATTAGATGATGCAGGCCTCGAGTGCCACCTTGTTGTGCCATTAGATGAAGCAGGCCTCGAGTGCCACCTTGTTGTGCCATTAGATGAAGCAGGCCTCGAGTGCCACCTTGTTGTGTCATTAGATGAAGCAGGCCTCGAGTGCCACCTTGTTGTGCCATTAGATGAAGCAGGCCTCGAGTGCCACCTTGTTGTGTCATTAGATGAAGCAGGCCTCGAGTGCCACCTTGTTGTGTCATTAGATGAAGCAGGCCTCGAGTGCCACCTTGTTGTGTCATTAGATGAAGCAGGTCTCGAAGTGCCATTAGATGAAGCAGGTCTCGAAGTGCCATTAGATGAAGCAGGCCTCCAAGTGCCATTAGATGAAGCAGGCCTCCAAGTGCCATTAGATGAAGCAGGCCTCCAAGTGCCATTAGATGAAGCAGGCCTCCAAGTGCCATTAGATGAAGCAGGCCTCCAAGTGCCATTAGATGAAGCAGGCCTCCAAGTGCCATTAGATGAAGCAGGCCTCCAAGTGCCATTAGATGAAGCAGGTCTCGAAGTGCCATTAGATGAAGCAGGTCTCGAAGCGCCATTAGATGAAGCAGGTCTCGAAGTGCCATTAGATGAAGCAGGCCTCGAGTGCCACCTTGTTGTGTCATTAGATGAAGCAGGCCTCGAGTGCCACCTTGTTGTGCCATTAGATGAAGCAGGCCTCGAGTGCCACCTTGTTGTGTCATTAGATGAAGCAGGCCTCGAGTGCCACCTTGTTGTGCCATTAGATGAAGCAGGCCTCGAGTGCCACCTTGTTGTGTCATTAGATGAAGCAGGCCTCGAGTGCCACCTTGTTGTGCCATTAGATGAAGCAGGCCTCGAGTGCCACCTTGTTGTGTCATTAGATGAAGCAGGCCTCGAGTGCCACCTTGTTGTGTCATTAGATGAAGCAGGCCTCGAGTGCCACCTTGTTGTGTCATTAGATGAAGCAGGCCTCGAGTGCCACCTTGTTGTGCCATTAGATGAAGCAGGCCTCGAGTGCCACCTTGTTGTGTCATTAGATGAAGCAGGCCTCGAGTGCCACCTTGTTGTGTCATTAGATGAGGCAGGTCTGTCTCACACGCCTTGAGGCAGGTCTGTCTCACACGCCTCTCCACGCCCTGCTCCCTCAACGCAAGCGCTTGTCTGCCCTGCACTGCTTCAAGGCCCCTCAACACTCTGCTTCTACCTCTTCTCTCCTTCACTCACCCACTCAACATGTGTCAGCCTGTCAGGCTGTCAGTGCACTGCTGGACGAAGTGGGTCTTTCCAACGCGCCTCTCCATGCGCTGCTACCCCATTTGTCCCGTAACCCCCTCTCCCTTTTCCCCTTACCCCTCCCAGATTCTGCCAGGCCGTGAGTGCACTGCTGGACGAAGTTGGTCTCTCCAACGCGCCTCTCCACGCCCTCCTCTCCCAGGGCAAGCGCCCGGCCGCTCTACACCCTTGCAAAGCATCTCAAGTGCCCTCCATGTCCTCCCACCCAACCACTGTGTGTCAGGTCATGCCAGGCCGTGAGTGCATTACTGGACGAAGTGGGTCTCTCCAACGCGCCTCTCCACGCCCTGCTGCCCCAGCGCAAGCGCTCAGCCGCTCTGCACAGCTTCAAGGCGTCCCAAGTGCCCATCCTGGTGGCCACAGACGTCGCCAGCAGAGGGCTGGATATCCCCACTGTCGACCTGGTGATCAACTACGACATCCCCAGGTGCGTTCACTAGCCAGGTTTCAGGTGGCCACTCGACCTGCTTCTGAGGCTTCTGAAATGCACCGCTTCAAGGCGTCCCAAGTGCCCATCCTGGTGGCCACAGACGTCGCCAGCAGAGGGCTGGACATTCCGACAGTGGATTTAGTGATCAACTACGACATCCCGAGGTGAGAAAATGGGCGCACTGCTGGTGTATTATCACAGTATCGTGGTGGCCACAGACGTCGCCAGCAGAGGGCTGGACATTCCCACTGTTGATCTGGACATTCCCACTGTTGATCTGGACATTCCCACTGTTGATCTGGACATTCCCACTGTTGATCTGGACATTCCCACTGTTGATCTGGACATTCCCACTGTTGATCTGGACATTCCCACTGTTGATCTGGACATTCCCACTGTTGATCTGGACATTCCCACTGTTGATCTGGACATTCCCACTGTTGATCTGGACATTCCCACTGTTGATCTGAACATTCCCACTGTTGATCTGGACATTCCCACTGTTGATCTGGACATTCCCACTGTTGATCTGGACATTCCCACTGTTGATCTGGACATTCCCACTGTTGATCTGGACATTCCCACTGTTGATCTGGACATTCCCACTGTTGATCTGGACATTCCCACTGTTGATCTGGACATTCCCACTGTTGATCTGGACATTCCCACTGTTGATCTGGACATTCCCACTGTTGATCTGGACATTCCCACTGTTGATCTGGACATTCCCACTGTTGATCTGGACATTCCCACTGTTGATCTGGACATTCCCACTGTTGATCTGGACATTCCCACTGTTGATCTGGACATTCCCACTGTTGATCTGGACCACTTGATCTGAACATTCCCACTGTTCATCTGGACATTCCGACAGTGGATTTAGTGATAAACTACGACATCCCCAGGTGAGCACTGTGCTGGTCCGAGTTGCCTTGGTCTGTCAATCTCCTCTCCAATCCAACATGGTCATTCAATACCCTGTAACACAACCCCCGGGGGTTGGTGTAACACAACCCGCGGGCTCACTCTGGTCTATGTACACAGGGTGGGGTGAACAGCCCACGAGACATCACAGGGTCTTCATGCGCTGCTTCACGAAACTCCCTATCCCCCAACCTATCCTCTCTGCTCCTACCCGGTCATTCCCTACCCTGTCCCACGTCCCCCCCACCCCATCTCCAGGTTCACGCGGGACTATGTGCACCGGGTGGGACGAACAGCCCGAGCAGGGAGGGGCGGACGAGCCATCAGCCTGGTGACTCAGGTGGGTGTGACTATAACGAATGGCAAGGGTGCTGTTAGTATTTTCTGGGTGGGAGCGGCGACTTAGATGAGTGTGACTGCTGTTGTGCGCAACAATTGAGCTGCAAGTGGTAGTTGGGCCGACAGCAACCACAAAAGAAGCATTAGGCCGTTTGAACCGTGTCTGCTTTTTTACCACTTCTCGTTTTCGAATCCCTCCTTCCCTCCGTCTGCCCGTCCCTCCCTCTCTCTCATCCTTGTGGCAGTACGACGTGCATCTGGTGCACAGCATCGAGAATCTCATCGGCCTCTTTTGTGTCCCATGCCCCTTCCCTTCACTTCATGCATGCTGCCTCCCCCTTTCCCGCTCCTCCCTTTCCCATGGCAGTACGACGTGCATCTGGTGCACAGCATCGAGAAGCTTATTGGTCGACAGCTGGCGGAGTGCACTGATGTGACTGAAGGCGATGTGCTTAAATGCATCAGCAAGGTGAGTGAAAGAAAGTGTGACAGCGTGAGCAAGGGGAGATGGCTATTGTTGTGTCGATTCTCTGTTAGTGCGTGCCTGCTCGCCTGCCTTTCTCTTGCTGGTGCCGCTGTTGCATGGAAAGCTTGTACAGTGGTGCTGGTGTAAACGTTTGTTTTTCCTATTTTCTTATTTTACTTTCGCGTTATTGCCATTTTTGTCTTGTCTTGTTTTCCCCAGGTGTTCAAGGCACGGAGGGCGGCTCTGCTGAAGGTGTCAGAGAGCGGGTTTGAGGAGCGGGCCAAGCAGAGGGCGGAGCAGAAGAGGAAGATTCGGGAGGAGCGAAGAGAGCGGGAGGGGGGTGAGAAGGCCAAGAAAGGCAAATGAGGGGAGGTGGTTGAGGGGAGATCAGTGTTTTGAAGTTTGATACGGGTATCGTATCTTTCTGGAGTACCTTATCATACCCACGCTTGCACGGTACCGTATGGCCCCGGATAGAAGCGCAGGCCTATGTTAAGCGCATGCGCTTGTATCTGGAGCAATGCGCTTATGGCCGATCCTCAATTATAAGCGCACCCCTTATAAAACCCTGATTTATTATAAGCGCATGTATAAACATATTTCAAAAAAACGGATTAAAACAGTAACGACTTCCCGTTTTGAAGCGAGTCCACATCCACTTCTACTCTGTTTGACTCCCTCGAGGGCGGGCTCGCTCAGGAAAAGCGCAACAGCGCGAAGTTGACCTGACAGGGGGGCTCGGGAACACCTGTTGTCTGTGCGCTGCGAGCGAGCGACTGCAGGCTACTGGTCGTATACTGGGGCAAGCCTGTGCGATGCGAACGAGCGACTGCAAGCTATTGGTTCGTACACTCTGATGGGGCGAGCATGACACATTCCTATGCGGAAGTGACGTGTCCTTGCCCTTGTGCGCCAGCAGAGAATCGCCCTCGCGAGATTCTGATTCAGAACGCTCCACACATTTCGATTTGAATGAAATGCACAGTTTGGTGCGTTTATAACATATTTCTGTGTTTGTTATTATATAAGCGCATGCGCTTATAATTTTGACTCATTTATAAGCGCACCCCCCTAAAAAACACTGTTTTATTATAAGCGCAGATGCGCTTCTATCCGGGGTATTACGGTACCGGTATTATGTGTAACTACGAAACATGCCACGTGTTTCGCTGGAGCAATCATTACAAGTCTCTTCATTATAAGAAACAGTACAAATGATATAAATCAGTCTGTGTAACGTTTCAGAATGGTGCCTGGTGCCTCCCTCCCAAGCACATCCAGACAGACACCGCCATCCAGTGCACCAAGATTGCCGCCCAGGCCGACCCAGATCTCCGGTACACCACAAGACACGCCGACCCGAGCACGACACAGCAGAGCAGAAACCCCGGATGCGAAAATAACCTTAACGCAGCAGGTCGGTTTAACCACGCTAGAAAGGGATGCGCTAAGACATATAAGGATGTTGAAACAATGCCATAAAACACTTTCGGATCCGCGGGCCAATCCCGAGGGAGCGAGAGAGCGCGCAGGAACGGGATGGAGGAGAGAAAAGGAGCGAGGAGGGAGGAGGCGCGAGAGAGGAGGGAAGTGATGCGAGTGTGAAGCCAGGAGGGGAGAGTAGACGGGGGTTCGGCCGGATGAGGGTTAAGGAGAACCCTCCAGAAAAGCTCTTCCCAGAAGGAGGGGAAGACGAATACAAAGAGGATGAGGGGGATGGGGAAGCCGGCTTGGGGGAGGTAGAAGGCGTGAGCCCAGGAGGCGAAGAGGCCCATGAGAGGCGAGATGGCGATGATGGTGAGCAGCGTGAATCGCAGGTCGGAGGGCGTGGGGAGGGTTGTGAGGGCGCGGGATAGGCGGAGGAGGAGGAGGGAGAGGAGGGAGAGGAGAGGGGGAGGCGGGGTGGGGTGGGGAGGGGAGGTCGAGCCATTGGCGGTGCCTGGTGGTAGGGGAGAAGGGAGGGAGTGGGAAACGGGAAAAGGGGGGAGGGGGGAAAGGAAAAGAGGACAAAAGAGGAGGGTTGAAAGGCAGGTTTCCAGGCGGCTTGGGGGAGGTAGAAGGCATGGGCCTATGAAGCAAATTGGCACATGAGGGGGGAGATGGTGATGATGGTGAGGTCGGAGGAGAGAGAGGGGGGGGGAAGGTGGGGGGGGGGTGTATTTAAGGCGCCTCGAGAAAGGCATGAGGCCCAGGAGGCAAAGAGGTACAAGAGGGGCGAGATAGGGTTGTGAGGGCACGGGATAGGCGGACGAGGAGGAGGGAGAGGAGGGAGAGAGGGGGGTTGGGATGAGGAGCGGATGCGGAGGCGTTGGTTGGTGGTTGGGGGGGGGGAGAGAGATTGAAACGGTGAAAGGTAGAGCGGGAAGGGGGCGCCTTGAGCGATGGAACCTTTTGGGGGTTTCACGTTGCTTGCTCCTGCTCGGTAGTGTAATGAGAACACAAGGAAGGTGCCAGGTGGACAGTGTGCTCATAATAGGCAGTGGATAAATACACAGGGGACTTTTAAGATGACTCCATGAACACGGACACTCATCAACGGTGGCACGGGTAACAAACCAATTCCCAGGTGGACGATTCGGATAAAAGGCTTGCACTGCTACGGAGGAACAACAGGGGAGCTGTTAAGGCGATTGAATAAGAGAGAGGAAACGGTACTGACCGAAGCTGCTGCTGTTATGAGCGTCGTTCGGCTCCATCCCCTCTAAAAGTAGCCCCGCTTCCGCTTCTGTGCCTTGAGGTAACGAATCTGCCATCTCGCAAGCCGTCGCATTCGCCTCTCCGTTTCTGACCTCCTCCTCCCTAGGCTCGCCGTCAGATCTGAGCTCTTGCCGTTGCGGCTGGCCGTCCATTTGGCCGGCGAGCCGCTTATGGTTGCGCTGTGACCTGACACGATAAGGAAATCGGGCCAATCCCAAACTACCAGCTGGCAATGCAGTCCCGGGAAGAAATGTCGGATGATAGCGGTTTGGATGGACAATGAACGGTTCAGAGCGGCTGAAGCTGAACCTGTAGGCGAAGACGTTGGAAAATCCGTGTGAAGAGGAGGATAAGGAAATATGCGAGGATGCGCGGACACTCGTAGAAGACGTAATTCCCGCACGTGTGCGCGACGGGTCTTGAGTCGACTCAAAAAATATGTCCCTTATGCGTGTGTGCGACGGGATAACGGCCGGAGATCTCGCGGCTTGAGCGAGCGACGGGATCGCGGTCAGATATCTACTTGCGGGGTGGTAACTCCGCGACGTGCTTGCTGCTCGGAATGTGCCTCTCGCCGGCAATGTGTCCGTCGCGGAAGGTTCTTGGTGGTTTCGGGTGGGTTGAGACGGTAATGAAGTCGTCGGTTTACGGAAGCATCTCGTGCATTGCTGCGAGGCGCCGGTATCCGTGGAGCAAGGCGGTAGGAGGCGGCGCAAGCGAATGGCTCGCATTACCTTAGCTTGCCGTGACTAGGAGGCTCACGCTCGTAATAGCAGTGCGCGGGAAAACAGCGATTCTGTTCACAGATGAAAATTATGCCCATAAGCGTCTGTTCCACTATCACCACTGGAAATTGACGCTGCTGGTATATCCATGGCTTTCAGTCAGTGATTTTCATTGACTGGGATCATACGCGATAAAATCACGGTGCTGCATAAATAGAAAATAGGAATAGATCAAATTTGGTGCGTGGAATGTAAGTCAATTATGATACGGTATTTCTTCCATCCATGTAACAACTGTGCAGCAACAGAATTCAATCGAGTCTCTTAGACGAAATCCATCCTAAACGGAGATATGTACCCTTCACTTTCTCCAACGTACCTCATTACCCTGCCACGTGGCCTCGTCTTTCCCTTGATTCATCCGCCTCTCGCGGGTTCCTCCATGCATACGAGCCGTTCCCCCCTCCTCGCGCAGCGCTCCCCTCGCAGCCCTCCTGTCTCAGCCTTCCCCGCAACCATGTATGCCTCCGCGCTGCTTCTTCCGCCCACCAGTCCCGCGAGCATCCCTGATCGCAGGGGTGGGTCGCGCGCGGTCTGGTACGGCGGATCCGGGAGGGAGAGTGACGGTAGCGCGAGGGGGGAAGGAAAGGAGAGCGACGAAGGCGGTGTGGAAAAAGCGGGAGGGGGAGAGAGAGAAGGGGGAAGTGCGCGCCATATGCCCCATCAGAAGCCCAGGAGGGCAATCGAAACTCGCCGTTCCGCCGAGTCCCTGCGCCATTTGGGGCGTTGGCGCAAAAATGTGCGCTTTGCGCGCACAGATCGTTTTGCGCGATAACAGCAGCATCTTTCCAGAGGTGTAAATTCAGGCTTGCCAGTCTGCTCGATAGTGCGCAGGATGAACAGCCGCAGCCAGGCGTTTACACCTCCAGAGCACAACAATCGGAACGACAACGACCTGAGGAAACCGTTCCTGTCGACTTTCAGTTTTGCACTGTTTCTCCCGAATCTGCGCTTACCAAATATCTGCCGAGGCGCTGCAAATTCTCCTCGTATCTTTCTCGTCTCAGTCGTAGCGATGGCGGCGAGGGTGGCGTGGCTGAAGAGGGTGACGAGGGTGGCGCTGCTGGCCAGGCTGCTGATGACGGCGTTTGTGCTGCTTGCAGCTGCCACGGCGGTTTCCGCGTATGGTCGGTACAGCGACGACTACAGTGACTATCAAGTGCGTTTAGAAATTGAATGCTTCCATATTGGATCATGAATCGACTTAAAAATCCGCTACTGTACAGGGTCGACTACATTGACTGAAGTGCGTGTAACTAGCACTTGGTGACGGCAAGGCGCCTGATCCGAGCAGCACAGCAGTTGCTGTTAAGGGTCCGGGGTTCGTTGGCTCAATCAGACCCCTCTCTCTAGTCTCTCTGTGTGCACTCATTTGCTGTCTGACGTTTGTGAGAACTAGATGCGTGAACTCCCTCGTCACTTCACCCTTATTAGACGTCTCAAATTTAATTTCTGGAATTCCTGTGCACTCCTTCTTTTTCTTCTGTTCTACTTTTTTTTCTTGATGGCGCTTCATCCAGACTACCACAGGTTCAGGACATGAAGCAGCTGCTACAGATAAGGGGAAGGCAGCTGCGCGGTCCAATCTGTGGTCCAGCATCTCATCGTATCTCATGCATCTGCCTGCGGCTCTTAGAGAGCTCCTGCCATCAGCCGTCAACACTTATATCGTGGTGAGAGTTCACTCATGTAATTGATTCATGTGAGATTAAGGCATCAAATGGCATAATTCAGTGCCTGTTCCTACTGCACAAATTCCTCGTGAGCTCACTGGGCTGTTTTTGTTTTTGGTTTGCTTCCCTATTTTCCACACCCCTTTCCTTTTCTAGCTCATCCATCCACCTCCCTGTACAACCCCTCCTATTCCTCGCTTTTAACCTCTTCAGCTCATTCACATGTATCTCGCATGAATCACTCTTGTTCTTGTCCTCTGGTCCCTCTTCCGTCTATCCCTCCATTCCTCACCTCTGCCTTTTCCTACACTCTTCACCTCCTTTGATACCTCCCCCACACCCCCCCCCCCCCCCTCCCACCCCCATAACCGGTCAGCTCATCCACGTGTATCTAGCATGCAGCACAGTCGTTCTTATCCTCTGGTCACTGGGCGTGTCCCAGTCACTCATCATGCATTGCCTGCACCAGCAGCTACTGAGAGCTAGAACCACCCTCCTCGAGCTGAAGAAACACGCCCTTGACTTTATGGTAAGGCTGCATTGACCCTTTCCTTCTGGTCCCTCTCTTCCCACTTACGCACCGCTCCTCTCTCGCCCCTTTCCCCCTAACAAACCGGCTTTTCCACATCACATGTATCTAGCATGGGGCACCTTGGCCGGTTCTTATCCTCTGGTTCTTATTATGCGTGTTCCAGGCACACATAATGTCATGTCTGCATCAGCATCTACTGGCAACCAGGACAATCTTGATAGAGCTGACGAAAGACGCCCTTGATTTCATGGTGAAACGAAATCTACACTTTTCTCGCGAAATGTTTGTTGCGTCTTTTTGGAAATGTAATAGTAAAACCAGCTCATGCCATTTTGCAGGCCACTCGAGGAACCTCCTTTTGCCAAGCTACCAGGTACTTAGTCGCATCTCCCTTACGTCATTTGTGAATAGTAATGGCAAGTAGTAATTGGCAATAAATCTTTCTTGCCACATACTAATTACTACTGCTAAGGTGTAGTGTTACCTGCCAGTTTTCCAGGGTCCATCATTGGATTCTCTTGCGTCTTGCTTCTGCCATCACAAATCTGTTGATGTCTTCGTTTCAGCTTCTCAGAGTTTGATACTTGAATATTCTCTCCCTGGCAGGTATGTCTTTGCTGCTAAACCTGGCATGGGAGACTCAACAACAGAAAATGCAGAGCTTCTTGGATTGGCCTGTCAGATCGACAATCTGACGGCTGAGATGAACTCGAAGATGAACAGCATGATGCAGCTGCTGCAGACGGTAAAGCGGCAGGTGGAGGCGGGTAATCAGGTATCGCAGAGTGAGCTAAAGCAGGGGAGAGACTTAAACACTGGGCTGGATGGGGTGGATGATTCCAGCATGGGGGAGAGGCGGGTGCAGGCAGAGGCATGGGAGGAAGAGGGGCGTCCGCCGCAAGGGTTGTCTGAGTCTGGGGGACGTATGCTTGAAGAGATGTTGGAGGAATGCAAAATGCAGATGAGGACGATCAGAGTTTTGAAAGCGAGGAGGGAGATGGTGGATTTGGGGGAGTTGGAGGAGGTGGAAGAGGAGGAAGCAGCAGCAGGTGAGGAGTGTGAGCCTTGGGATGAGCAGGAATTGGCGACATGGATTCAGTTTCTGGAAAGGGTTTTGAGAGAGAACAGAGGGGAGCATGAGGAGGGGTCTGAAAGAATGGGAAGCACAGGTGGCGTTGGTGCAGGGGATGATGAGGCAGGGATGTCTAGTGGGGTGGTTCGGTTAGGCGAGGAAGATGATGGGGATATGATGGAGAGTAGGGAAAGAAGGGTTGACACGGGAGGACATTCGGATGATATCGAGGCTGATGTGGCTGATGTTGGGAATGAGGTGGAGATGATGAAAGGTGACGTGGAGAGGATGAAGGGTGACGTGGAGAGGCTGAGGAATGAGGTGGCAGGAAGGGCGAAAGTGGAGGAGGAGAGGGCGAGAGACATCAGTGGCCTGAGAAGGGAGGTCGAGGGTCTGAAGAGTTGCAGTGGTGATGCAAGGAAGTGCCTGGACGAGCTGAGGGCTGAGATGAAGGCAGAATTGGCTGTGCTGGTGGCGCAGAGTGAGAGGAGGGTTTGTGGCAAGTTGGATGAGTGGAGGCGTGAGATGGAAGAGGGAAGGGCGGAGGAGGCAGGGAGGATGAGGGGATTGAAAGAGGAGGTGGACGCGGGAAAGGCAGAGGTGGTAGGGAGGTTGAGTCAGATCAACCATCGGCTGGATGAGGGGAGGATGGAGGCACGCGCCAGTGCAGCCAGTGCAGCCAGCGCAGCCAGTGCAGCCAGTGCAGCCAGCGCAGCCAGCGCATTGGAGGACCAGCAGAGGGTGGAAGGGTTGAGTGTTCGGCTGGAGAGCTTCCAGGAAGTTACCGAGAGGGTTGAGGGGGAAATCCGAGCTCTGTGGGAGGTGAGCATCTGATTTGGCACTCTTCCCAGTAAGGGCTTTATGTACCATTTTCGCCAGTATCCCTTTTGTATGAACCCGTCCCCAATCTTACCACTCCGAAATGCATTATTTCCTGTTTCGATTATCACAGTGGTGTCCTGGCAACATCAGTGGTGTCATGTGCATGTGATTCGTGCCATCGGCAATCTTTTCCCTCTCCGCACCTGCGGTTTGTCTCAAGTCCTCCAGGACGGACCGTCTCATTCTGCCTTGTGTTTTCCTCTCTGCAGGCATTTCACAGTGTTGGGCTGTGAGGGAAGCGGTGTAGATACAAGTGTCAGCATCAATCCTCATCATCAGTCTGTGGCTTGAATCTCTGCAACTGTCATGTCTTGGATTGGAGTTGGTGGCATCTAACCGGGATTCTGTCCTGAGTTTTTTCTTTGATTCATGAAAATGTTCTTGGAGATCGCGTTGCCATTGGAAAGTTTACCGTACCATGGACGACATATGCGTAAAGAGGAGGGCCCCATACGGGTAACCGAAATACTGGTAATAGAGGGCCTATATTGAGGGGTTGTAGGTGCTGGGGGGGGGGGTGACAGAATGATGCAAAACTCCCTGCGAGCTACTTAGGACATGTATGAAGTTATTACCTGTGTAAAGTGGTGTGTCTGATTCGTTATGATGAACTGGAAATCAGTGTTTGACCTTTGAGGGGCACTGAATGATCAGCATGCCTCAAAAAGAGTGGGCCTGGATTACACGTATGACAAAACTGTTTTTCAAGCTAGCGTATACTAAATGAAGGAGAAATGACAACAAACCCACCTTAACAAACTAATCATGGCAAGATGACAGCTTCTAAATCCTACCTCGAGCTTTACCTTCAAGATGAAACCTTGCGCGCAACGGCATCTCAGGGTCACAATTTTCTGACTCAAAAGCCGCCATGGGTCTATGAGCATAATACACAGCTGTGCTTGAGTAACCAGACACGGAAATAACGTACGCATCGCACGAGGCCAACAGCAGCCACTCTGTTACCAGCTCTTGGAACAAACGCTCCTTCTCGCGTTTTGTATCTCCCTCCACTCCCTCCACTTGCCCGGCAACCTCCCCTGGGCTTAGAGTGGAAGAGCCATTGCCAATGCTGCCAACAGAGCTGGAGCTCAGACTATTCGCATGCCGAGGTATGAAGTCGGTAGTGATAACCTGGCAGGGTCAGCGGAAGAAGAGAGCAAGGAAGAAAGGAGGTGCGAAAGAAGAAGAAATAGCAGGTTTTCAGGGCAGCGTGGTACAACAAAAACCACGAGGGTCATTCTCAAAAGAGAGCCTTGAAAACGGCCGCCGAGAGCTGGCTCTCCCACCTCCCTTTTCCCCCTGGTCCCTCTCTCCTCCCTCCACTGCACCTTCCTTCCCACAGAGTAATACACACACACATACACACCCACACACACACACACACACCCCTCTCACACACCTTGTAGGGAAATCTAGACTTGAGGGCAGCCTTGAGCTGCGCTGAGTTGGTGATGAGCATCCATCGCACCGCAACGGACGACGGGAACCAGTACGATTCCACACGCTGGAGGCACGGGGAAACAGGGCGAGCAAGTGGCACGGGGAAACAGGGCGAGCAAGTGGCACGGGGAAACAGGGCGAGCAGCAAGTGTCTAGGAAAGTTATGAGAATTCTCAAAAGTGACACGACGCTGGTGCCACGGGGAAACAGGGCGAGCAAGTGTCTAGGAAGGTTGTTAAGTGGACGCGGGGAGAAATGAGGGATGGCGAGGGTAGTCAGGAGGACAAAATCCTATGTGCTTGCGCACGCTTGGGGTTGGAAAATGAGAGGTCCAGGGAATAACGTGGTGAGATACCCGAAACCCTTCCCTGCCCAGGGAATAACGTGGTGACTTGCGCGCACCCAACCTCCCAAAATGGGGAAGTTCCGACTCCCAACCTCCCCATCCCCCCTCCTGTCCACTCACCTGCGCGCACATAATCCATTTCCGGGCGCCAGCAATGAGCACGTCCACCTGCTTCGCACTCAGCTCCTTGGGCTCCCCCCTGTCGCCCGCCCACACCACCCGGTCGCGCACGCGGATGTGGATCCCCACTGTTGCCACCCGGGGCCTCCCCGCGCCTGCCTTCCCCGCCCACGACCTCCTCCGCAGGCGCCGCTCTATGCTGTGGAACAACGCTTGCACCTCTGGCTTGGGACTGGATGTTGGTTTGCAGGGGAGGAGAGGGAGCGGGGAGAGAGGAGGGTGGAGGGGAATTTTGAGTCGACTCACAAGTCGCCCCTGCCTTCCCCGCCGACGACCTCCTCCGCAGGCGCCGCTCTATGCTGTGGAACAGCGCTTGCACCTCTGGCTTGGGACTGCAGGAGGGTTTGCAGGGGAGGAGAGAGAGCGGGGAGAGAGGAGGGTGGAGGGGGAAGAGGGGAGGGTGAAGGGCGAACGCGGCGAGGGGGAGAGTGAGAACAGAATGCAAAAAAGAGACGGTAGACAGGTAGGAGAGGAGGGAATGGAAAGTGGAAGAATTGTCCGAGAAGGGAACGGACTCCAATAATTCCTTTCAAACACCACTCTCCTCTCGCTCTTCCCCCTTCCTTTCCTTCCACCCCTTTACCGCATGAGGAACCGGATCGAGCATACTCTTGAGGCGTCTCAAAAGTAGACTCTCTCTCCTCTCTCTCCTCTCTCGCTCCCCCCTTGCTTTCCTTCCTCCCCTTTACCGCATGAGGAACCGCAGAGAGCATCCGAACGTGATGCGCCTGTTTTCGAGTCGACTCAAAACCTCTCGCTTCCTTTCCTTTCCCCCTTCCTTACCGCATGAGGAACCGCAACGAGCATCCGAGCGCGTATGGCAGCCGCATACCCATCGCCTTAAACCTCTCCGCCCACTCCCCCTTCGCCCTCGTCTGCAGCCACGTCAGCACGCCGCGGTTGCTCGTCATGCGAACGTTCACCGCGCCTTCCAGCTCCTTAAAAAACGGCTCGATCCGCACGAACTTATCCCGCAGCCACACCAGCACCACCTCCCCGTCGCGCGCGCGCTCGGGGATCGTCCTTCCCCAGCCATAATCCACCAACGTGAGGTTCCGCGCAGGTTCCAACGGCACGAACGGGTCGGGCTCCCAGTTGATTATGCTGGGTTCGAAAGCTTTGGGAAGGCAGTGGTTTCGGACTATAAGCGCGCGATTGTCGAGTATAGCCACGACTAATGCGGTTACCAGCCCTGCGAGAACGTCCGCGAAGCCGCCACAGCCGTCCAACCACTCGAATGTGAGGAAGCGAACAGGTGGATCCAGCCGTCCATCCGTCATCAGCTCAGCAGGCTGCTGCTCTATCCCATACCGCTTTAAAAGAGGTGTCCCAAAAGACTCTAGATCTTCGTTCCCCCTTGATTTCTCCGCGTGTTGCTGTGTCAGGTACGCTTTTAAGGCGCGTGCGCGTATTCGGCTGTGCAATGCGGCGTAGTCACTAGCCCAAGTCCCGCATAACCCGTGCGCTTCGGAGAAATTGAAGTCCAAAGAGCGCGGCATGCGAGTCTGTTTTTCGAGAACAGAGACAAGAAACAGATTCAGCTGAGAACTCTAAAAAAAAACGAATAGCGCGGCATGCGAGTCCGTTGTCGCAACTGACGCTCCTGCCATCGGCGGCAGGTGAATGTGGGCATGAAGGAGAACAACACGAACCGCGGAACAACACGGAAATCGAAGCATATAACAACGAGGAAGCATTCAACGACAACGCGTGGGTGAGAGTGTGAGGGAGGAAGGAGATAGAGGGCGGAAAGGGGGAAGAAGGAAGAAGGGGAGTGAGGAAGGGACGGAGGGTGGGCGTGGGAAAAGGGGGAGATGCAGAGGTAGGAAAGGAGGTAGGTGATGTTCAGACTGGAGCGTGGTTGCAGAGTATGTTTTGCAGTTTCCTGCTCCGGTGCTTACGGAATGGTCCAGGCGCTTCAAAGATTCGTGATTATTTACCTTGATGCGCTGGGATGTGGTCAGCGAGGTAAACGCGAGAACGAGATGCAGAACAGCGAGCAACTGCACAGTCGACCCGGGAAACGCCATTCACGTATTTGGTTGTCCAGTGTGTGTGTAAGATGTCGCGCTTTGTTAGATGTCGCGGAGAGAGAAATATTGAACACGGAAGCCTGGCGAAAAAAAAGCTCTGGGACTCCAGGATGAGGAAGGGATTTCGACATCGAGAAGAGTCAATGTTGGATTACTTTCAGGCTCTGTCGAGTTGGGCTGACGCAGCAGAGATGCGATGCGAGGTGCTCACTCGCTCTTCAGTGATAAGACGGACAAGAAATGATGCCGCCTTTTCCCAGTCTCGACATACAAAACGTTTTCTCGGCGGAACGGGTCTGGGAATGGATCCTGTGCAGACAAAGTTTCTGACAAAACCTGCGTCGCGTCGCGAAAAAATTGTTGCCTCCACACCAGGCCTGTCGAAGTCCCTGGGGCTCGAACTTGCGCTCCCCAGCTCCTCCCAATCTGACCCTTGGTTGGGGGTAGGTGATTGATTTGGCGCCCTTAAGGGTCACGGGCATACCCCAAAGTCAGAACTTGAAATCAGGGCATGTCCGAAGTTTGCCCTTACACTTCTTCACACTATGACAAGTGCAGTTATCTACTTAAATTAGAAGTCAAAGACACCTGACACTACACATGCGGCCAATCAACTTAGCCAAATTCAGGCACGCTAATCCTATGTGTCCTCCCAGCTGTAACATGCGGCCAGCTAGTATTTGCTTGGACGCTAAGGGAAAGTTCGAGTGCTCCATGTGTGTCTCAGCCACTTTACAGATACGGACGGGATTGGCTCGAAAACGCGAAGGGAAAAATCCCGTTGGCGCGCTCTCGGGGGGTGGGGGTGGGGGGGGGGGGGTGGGGGTGGGAAGGCAGAATTCGGGGGGGGGGCCTACAACCGGAAACCAAAACTTAGTGGGTGGGGAAGGCCTGATTGGAGAACTTAACGCGTCCGGGGAAGGGTCTGACGAGACACTTAGTGGCACGGGTGCAATGCGATCCTAACACTTTATGCAGTCGAGCTGGAGCGAAAGTAACCCGGAATTTCAGGGCATTAAGGGCACATGCCCGTCAATCGACAGGCCTGCTCCACACACGAGGGTGTCCAACAGATGATACTCGGTTCGAAGAGATTTTTCGCGTTCCAGAGCGTTCACAAAAAAACTGTTGTCCTTCACTCGCGATTTGGGCACGAAGGGGTCTTCCCCCGCCTCAATCTTTCACCTCTAGCATTGGCTCCTGCGTGGGCAACCTTCTGACACAACCAGAGCGTCTCGGAGAATTCAGTCAGCACGAGGTGTACTCGTCTTCAACATCAGTCAGAACGGAAGGTTTGCATTGAGTAGGCTCACAAAGTAACAGAACAATCCACTCAAATGTATTATTTTTTTCCATAAATATTTGATGAACAGTGGCAACTCTTAACCTATCCCAGCCGTAAGAATATAATGAGATATAATTTCTGGATTATCCACTGTCATTCCACCCATCCCCCCATTGGACCTATTTCCTGAAACCTTTGCCACCATCAAGCTAGACCCCACTCAATCGTTCAATTCAGGCCCCACGTTATCAGGGCAAAACATCCTGATTACCCTGAATTCAGGATGCAGTTTTGAATTTACCCTGTCATTTCAGAATAGTGTAAATTTTTACCCTGAGGTCTCAGGATGCTGTTATATGAAATGCCTTGAACATTCAGAATGGCTGTAGTGTTCTTCCTTGTAGCATCAGGATGAATGCAGAGGCCTGCCCTGACGCGTTTTTTGTTTGGGGGGGGGGGGGGGGGGGGGGGGGGGGGGAGGGGGAGAGTCCCGTACCTGGGGATGAGGCAATGCGTGATTTAATTACTCATTCATCCACGCAACCATCCAGAAGTGGCCAAGTCAGTGGAAAGGCTTGTGATAGATGAGATCGTAGGATCGAATCCACCCACGTGCAGGTGTATACGTTCTTCAACTTTAACTCTGTCAACCAACCAATCTGAACCCTGAACACAGGGATTTTTTCCCTGACAGGTCAGGATTGATTTCTGAAAAAGCCCTGAACATACAGGAAGGCTTCGAAAATTTGCCCTGACAAATCAGGGCATTTTTTACGATTCTGGAAAAGTGCCCTCAGGCCTCAGGGTGCCCCAAATCCTAGCACGGGCCCTGGTTCAATTCAAATGCTCGTGGTTGGAGGCACAATGTCCTCGCATCCTTGTTTGCTTCACCATTGACCCCGAACCCACCTCCCATCCCTGATCCATCCCCTACCAACAATTTTTTCCCCGGGCTGAAAGTATTTATCCAGGACCCAGCAAAAGTCTGACGATGGCGTCCGTCGTGGCAAGAGACAACCTGATCTCGCACTTCAACACCGGCAGCTTTAACTATCCCCAACAGCAGCTATAGCTATTCCCACCAGCAGCTTCATCTATCCCCACGCTTTAGCTATCCAGCCAACCCCCAGCAAGAACCTGAAGATGGCATCAATGGTGGTAGGAACGAGCATGAGCTCACATTCCCTATTGCTTCACCATCGCTCCTTCCATCCCCCTTCCCATCCCCCATCCCATTCCCCTTCCCATCCCCCCTCCCATCCCCCATCCCATTCCCTTTCCCATTCCCCACTCCCATCCCAACACCACCGTTTCTCATAGCTTCAGCTATCCAGCCAAACCGACAACAGGAGCCTCAAGATGACAGTTCTGATGGCTCGAGACATCCTGATTTCACGTTTCCTCCGCTTTACCATTGTCTCCCCCATTCCCCTCCCCCGCATCCCCTGGCACCACTGCTCCCCATCCTCAGCTATCCAGTTAGCCCCCACCAAGAGCCTGAAGATGGCATCAATGGTGGTTGGGGGCAGGAAGACCTCACATCCCCTTTTCTTGCTTCACTGCGCCTCCCATCCCCCCTCCCATCCCCCAAACAGCAACACCACCTCCAGTTTCAGCCATCCAGCCAGCCCCAAGGAGAAGCCTGAAGATGGCATTAGCGGTAGCTTTTTTCTTGTTCTTTTCCTTTTAGAGTTGGAGACAACCTGATTTCACATTCCCCTTGCTTCACCATCCCACCTCCCATCCCCCCGCCAGCACTACCCCCACCAGCTTGAACTATCCATCCGGGCCCCATCAAGAGTATGAAAATTGCGTAAGTGGTGGCATGTGGTAGACGGAAGAACTGGTTCACTGCTACTCATGAAATAGCACCCCCTGATAGGGCTGCTTGTTGCAAGATGAGTTGATGGGATGGGTGGGAACGGAGAAGGGGTGGGTGGTGGTGTGAGGCGAAAAGCTGGGTGCATGCTATGCCATTCATGATGGACGGGGGGTAGGTGGAAGTGTTGGTGCACCGCTGCTCATGTTAGCCCAATGTGTCGTGTTAGCCCAATGTGACATGTCAACGCAATGTGGCTGTCAGTCCAAGACGACATGTCAATCAAAGTGTCGTTTCTATCCTCTTCATCCATAGGCTCACCATCTGTTTTGTGCTCTTGGTGCTAAGGCTGGCCGACATTCGGATGGCTAGCCGCTTACTAGAGCACCATGAGATGATACCATAGGGAGCACTGCCCAGTCCCCTACTGCTATATGGCAATGGAGACGCAAGCAGGATGTTGGATGATGGCGATTCAATGGGTAATGCATAACGGCTTCAAGTGAAGCAATATGTGTTCGAGAAGCTGTAAGAAGAGGATAAGAGCGTGTTCCTACGGCCTCTTATCAGGCCTACCCCATATCAGATTTGTGCAAACTCGAGATTTTCGTTAAAAAACCCGAATTTCAGACTTGTATTGCACGGTTAAAATCCACGCGCGCGAAATTATTCAATCTCGCCACATCAGCAGACCACATCGAGACCCTGCGCTGAACATGTACAAACACCTGCCTGTTTTGTCGAAAATGAGGCTACATTTGTTTTCTTCAGCGGGCAACATTTGTACCGTGACACCTGTTAAAATAAGAAGACGGGAATGAATGAACTATGCAGGATGGGGATATAAATAGTAAACCCTAAAAGGGTTGTCCCCTCTATAGTGAGCCCCGGTAAAGACTACAGCACTATAAGTGCATAATTTGACACACCCCCATAGGCTAAGTGGGGGACAACAAACAGTCACAAGACCAGTCAAGCAAGAGAGCAAAGCAAAGCAAAGCAAAGCTCAGGGTGGATCTCAAGATCACCGCGCATTCTGAGCGCAAGCAAGCGGCCACAAGGCTAGTTCACATGCAGAGTTCATAAAAAACAATTGCCGTACACTGATCTGTTGAAATGAACGAACAGGAATGATTGAACTAACAGTGAAATCAGTACAAATACCTAACCCTAGAATTGTGTACCCCCTATAGGCTAACCCACTGTAGCCTAAACAAGCACAACATATATAATGTTTGACACACCCCCATAGGCGAAGTGGGGGAGAACTAGGGGTCACAAGAAAAGCAAAGCAAAGCAAACTCAGGGTGGATCACAAAGTCACCACACAATCCGAGCACAGTTCAAGGCCACAAGGCCAGT